TTATATATATATATATATATATATATATAAAAAATTATATCTGATCTTCCACCAAAAGAACTTGGAGAATTCAGCCAGTTCTCCAGAGGACCCTGCTCTGCTCCGGTGGTGTGCTGGAGATGTAAGCCTTGGCACAGCCTCACAAGTTGGCAGTGAGGACAAGCCTGCCTTGCAGGGCAAGCCTGCGCAGACTCTGCAAGATTGCTTCTAACAACCCATTTCTTCATGGCCAGGGGCATTTCATGTGACTGTGGGTTAAGGATCTGATTGTAGCTTCTATCTCTGTTACACATTGATATGATTTAAAAGGATCACTAGGGACTTCTTCTCACAGTATTTCAGCTGCAGGTTAAAATACTCACTTTATGTTCAAAGGCTGGTTAAAAGCAGCTGGTGGGACTCACCTCACCTCACTGAAGGTGAGAGGTCTTGTCTCACCTACTTTAGCTGCCTACCTGTGGGCACCATCATGGGCCTCAGCAGGGCTCATTTTCACCAGCGGAGGATGACAAGACAGCTGAGGGTGTGCAGCTTTAGGGACACCTCCATGCCATTAGACACCAGCGCTGGGTTAGCTGGATCCCAGGCATTGCATGTCCAGATACTTCCAGCCAAGCACTGCCCTCCTCAGAGCAGCGAAGAGGCAGACCTGCTTGTCTGACTCCGGTGGCCAAACGTCTTCACTTCCCCGTTTTTTAATCTCTAAGAGCCGCTTGCATTCGTGTGACTAGTGCAGAGGGGGTGAGGTCCCTGCACCGCAGAGCACCCAAGCCCCTCCACCCACCCCAGGCTTTGGTTTCCTGCTCGTCTGTAAAAGCGGCCGCAGCTCGGTGCATACTTCCCCTCTTCTCACAGCAGCAGCTGTGTCACACATCTGAGCCTCTCCTGTGCCTGTAATTGTTGGGGTGACCTTTGAAGTAGCTGCCTCAGCGTTTCTTAGAGTGTTTCTCCTGTTGTCAGCTCTGCCTCATGGGACCTGGGCTGCATGCAGGGGGGGGTCACCCAGCCGGCCGCAACCTTGCTCACACAGCTCTGGACAGCTTCGCTTTGGGATGGAGAAGTCCTCTACAGGAGGGACTGCTGTGCTTCGAGAGGACAGGACGGACCAGCACCACCATGCTGGGGTTTGCAACTTCAGCACAGCCCACATCACCATCAGAAACAGTGCTCGGTGCATGCTTAGAGGAGATGCAGAAGCAGCTGAGGAGACAACCAGGACTTCAAGAGCAAGGAGTTAAGAACCTTACCCTCACTCAGAAGAGAGGACAGCTTTTCTTCTGCAGGCATGGGTTTCATTTTTGTCTGGACTGAGGCCCCTGGACTTTGCTCAGGCGTTGAACTCCAGGGCCCTGAGGGCACCTCTCCCCCAGGGCCTCCCCCCACCCTTGCCCAAAGGCTTGGGGGTCCCATTTTATGGCAGCCCAGGGCCACTGGTCCCTGCCCAGCCTGGGTGCTGCAGGCTGCACGTTGTCTCTGTCCCTCTGCCCGGTGTTGCAGCCCCCTCACAGCCTGCCCAGCCCCCTCAGGTTGCTGTGCTGTGCCCTCATCAGACTGCCTTCTGCTGGTCCCACCCCAGCCAGAGAATATCCATGTCACCTTAAGAAACGCCTTGGAAAGGAGACTTGCTCTGGTGCCCCCCACAACGTCCACCTCCCAGCAAGGAGGGCTGCCACCAGCAACAGTGCCTCTAGGCTGTCAAAATGGCTCTCGCCCTTCAGAAATAAACCCATCTCACCCCAAAGACCAATTGCGGCCCTTAATCCCCCTCAACAGCCTCTGCTGAGTATCTGGGTTTGATCTGCTGGGTATACAGCCCCACTCTGCCTCCCATCCCGAG